TATTGTTGGGGGCTTTTAGCCAGATTTATATTGTGAATCAAAAACAAAGAGCCCAGAAGGATGATTTAAAATGTGAATTTGACCAGAAAGGAAGCTCTAGTAAAGCTGTGGACTGCAAAGATGGAGCTGAAGAGATCTCTATTGCTGAGAAGGAACAGGAGAATAAAAAAGATGGCCTGAAGGCATCACAAGAAACAGCAAGTCTCCACCCTTTGCAGCCTCAAAACGACAAAGATAAAAGACCTTGCTTTGAAAAAAAAGCTGCTGAGTGCCACGTTCCAGAGTGGCAGCGGCGGCTGCACCAGGTTCCAGAATGGCAGCAGCATAGAGAATCTGCTCCTCAGAATTGGATTCAGAGTGCCCAATGATCCAGGAACTCGACCCCTGTGGCCAAGAGAGAGGAAAACTTGGCTACTGCTCCAGGTGGCAGCAGACCTTGGCATCATCCACGTGGCCCTGGCTTCAAATGCATGGAGAATACAAGAGTTCTGAGGTTAAAGAGGATTTCACCCAGATTTCAGAAGGCCTGGGAGGCCAGGCAGTGTGCCCCTGAGAGGGCAGTGTGTGAGGCTGTGAGTGTGAAGCAAAAGGTGCACTGGAAACCTCAGAAGTTTAGAAAAGCCAGGATGGTGGATTGTCTGAGGAAAGCTGCAAGGAGGGAGGAAAGCGGGCCTAAGAGAGAAGTCATGAAAGCTGTAACCACCACAAGTGCCATAGGGGTGGACTCATGCAAGCCCTTTGGAGCTCACAATGTGCCAGAAGTTGCTTCAGATGCTACATGTGGAATTACAGGACATAACGTTAGCCTTGCTGGATTTTGGACTTGCTTTGGTCCCAAAGCTCTGTGTCCCCCTGTTTGTACCTTTTGGAATGATACTGCTTATTTTGTGCCATTAAATGTTAAAAGTGTTTAACTTTTCATTTGTACAGGGGGTCACAGCTAAGAGTTTGCCTTACATCTTGGAGGAGACTTGGGACTTGGACTTTTCAGCAATGCTGAAACTGTTAGGACTTTGGCAACTCTTGCAAATGGACTAATTGCTGTTTATATAAAGGGATGGACATGAGTCTTTGAGGGGCCAGGGGTGGAATGTTATGGTTTGTATCTGGGTGTCCCTCCAAAGCCTCATGAGGCCATGGGGCAGGCTTTTAGAGCTCTCACACATGGGTGTGAGAGCTGCACCGCCCTGGGGAGGATAGTTTACATATGTAAGGGAGAGGAAAAAAATGCTTGAGGCCATTCCTCCCCCATTCCTCCCTGGTGTGTGGTTGTTGCTTAGCTGTGTTCCGTCGCCATGAGCTGTAGCTCTCTGCCATGTGCTAGTCTGCCTTGTAATCTGCCAAGTATGAACTGAAACCTCCACAAACTGTAAGTGAAATAAACCTTCCTTCCTTCATTTTGGGTGTCAGATATTTTGTCCCAGCAACGAGAAAAAAGTAACCTGGACAGCCATTCTGTAGAAACACATTAATTTCCTGCATTGATTTCAAGACATATAGAAAATTCAGTCACACTGCAACAATGGGGACAATTTTAAAATCAGACAGAGATTTCGTGGAAATCAAAAATCAGGCCCAGAAGATTCCGTCAAAACTTCAAGAGAGGGAATATGTTGTTGTTAATTGAAATTGTTGAAGTGCATGAGAAAAGAAGACAGGTGTACCTGTTTATTCTTTAATCCAAAAATGACTGACAGCACAGTGGAAAAACACAGCCCATGTATGAACATGTACACACACAGAAAAACTAATTCAACAGAGCCACTTAGCTCTATGGAATTAAAGAACACCACACCATGACACACCATATGGTCTTTCTCTTCTTCTGAATTTGCCTTCCTGAAATGATGATACGTTATGATTTTGGCTTCTTCCTTACTATATGTGTACTCTGGTAAAATGTCTGCTCCATGATGCCAGAGAGTTTGATAGCTTAATGTGACAGTTGCATATGCTACTCTACAAATAGGGGTTTAATGAAGGACTGGAAGAAAGTAATCACCACACTAACACGTACTACACTGCAAGACTGATGCAGCAGAGATGAAGTTGGGGTGTGTGTGTGTGTGTGTGTGTGTGTGTGTGTGTGTGTGTTACTAAAGACTAAACCCAGACCATTCATATTAAGATGCATTTCCACTTTAGTTTTAAAAATTATTTCACAACATGGTCTTGCTAAGTCACTGAATTACCCAGGCTGTGCTCAAATTCCCAGTCCTCCTGCCTCAGCCTCCACCGGGCTTTTAGAGGGATGCTGGGCAGGTTTAGAAGATAGCCAGGCCTCCAGATAGTTAGCACTTTTGTGCAGTCTGCTTTTCTGATGTACAAGCTGCTGTTCTCTGAAGATCACCAGGTGTCCTGGGTTCTGAAAATCTGGAGAAAAGTTTCTAAAAGCACATCTTGTGGCTTGTGTTTTAGTTCCTTTTCTCAGGAATACTTAACTTTCTACCTGATCACTAAGGTACAAAGTCTTGTTTTTCCAGAGAACAGAGGAACATAGTGAAAGGAGCCTTTTAAAACAGAACTGTTTGTAACACATTGGGCAGTTTCCATCAGAATTGTCATTTGCAGGGAAGAAGGAGGGGAGGGCACAATGGCATATTGCTCAGGTGTGGGGCCTCCAGAATTAATGGGTTTCAAAGTCAACTAAAAGCGCCTAAAGTAGCACGTCTATTTGGGTTTTCCCTCAGTCACAAATAAGGGTCTTAAACATACATGAATATCAGGTTTCATAGGGGCCACAGTGCGTCTGTTGGCTGGCTGCTATACTTGTCGATGGATTGTGACGAATTTCATTGAAAGACATCACAATAGCAACCATGCTTCTGTTTCTATGTTACTTGCTAAGGCAAAGTCTGGTCTTGGTGACAGCAGTTTCTGCTTCTGAGCAAGGGCGCCATGTCTTTTCTGCCCCTTCGTGCAGGCGGGAACTGTCTAAAAGGCCCATCTGACCCTTGCAAGTGACCCTGGTGTGCCAGGCCTTGGAGCAGCAGCCTGCTTGCATGGCGACTTTAATTTTCAGGCCATTCTGTGTGTCCTCTACCACCATTCTTTTGGGGATATTTTGCAGGTAGTAGGAATGACACCCAGGGCCTATGTGCTGAACTATATCTCCACCTTATTTTAAAATATTTATTTCACAACATGGTCTTGCTAAGTCTCTGACTTACCCAGGCTGTGCTGAAATTCCCAATCCTCCTGCCTCAGCCTCCAGAATGCCAGCATTACAGCTGATGCCACCATGACTACCCAAATGCACACATTGTGCCTCAATTTACTGCGGTTCTGGTGGACGTTGAAGCCTGTTGGGCTGCTGGGTGCTGGTCTACTTCTGCGGCTGGAAGAGGACAACATGGAAGGCACCACTGCAGGTGGGATGGTAAAGGTGGCACTGCATGCGAGCCTCTTCAGGGGACACTATGGCAACAAGAGGTGACAGGACCCTGGCAGGGGCCTGGTGAGTGGAGAGGTCCTTCCAATGACAAAATTGTTATTCAGAACCCACACAGCACAGGGTGTTGGGGACACCAAGGTGTCAACATAAAAATCACACCCTGGCCAGGGATATAGCACAGTGGTACAAGTACTTGCCTGGCAAGCACAAAGTCCTGGGTTCAATACCCAGGAACAAAACAAACAAACAAATGAACAAAATTGCTAGGGTGTCTTTATATCTTTATTTTTCTTTTAAAGTTATGAGATTGGAGGTGGGTGCAGGAGAGGCTGAGACAGAAGGCCCAGCTCTGAAGAACAAAGTGTTCAACAGCAGGCTCATTGTTGTCTGCTTCTCCATGGATTCATCTTCACTTTCACATCTTCTTTGTCCAGTCTTCCTTTTCTTGCCTTTTCAGTCTTAAGAGCTCCATTGTAAATATTTACTCTATATGTCTGTTGGGACCCCCTCTCTCTCTTTCCTTGTCCTCCCAGTTTCTGTCTGGTGCCTCAGTGGAGAGGGCAAGATGCTCTCCTGCTGGAATCACTTGTGGTCGCCAGAAGGAAAGCAATGGCTGGAGAGGCTTCTCAGAAGACAGGGGTCCCAAGGCATATTGTTTGTGTTCACACACAGTGAGTTGCATCCAGCTCTGCCAAGCCTTGCCCTCTGCAGGGTTCTGGAGACACAGGGTCAACTCCCACTCCAGGGACTCACCCACACCCAGCACCACAGAGAGCCACCAAACTTTGTATGAGGTTGGGAGTTTGAAAAGCACATTGTGGTTGTGCTGGTAAAGGGCCCAGTGGGAGGGATGTGGCCTGACAGTGGTGGCACCTCTGTCCCTCTCAAGGACCCCCCTTAGGGCCCTGCCCTGTGCTCTCACCATCAACAGAGGGCAGGGCTGCCAGCTGTCCCTGCCCACATCCCCACGGTCGCCCTCAGCCTCTGTGCACGCCGAGCTGCCCCAACAGGACCACAGGATGGGTGACCGAGACGCATGTCACTGAAAGAGCGAGGTCCTGGGCAAAACCCCAGGGTGGGCACAGACAGGGATCCACATCCCCAGCTGGCACCCTAGGCTGGGATCTTGGGGTGGGACAGTTGGGGTGCAGGGAGGGATGCAAGCCAAGCCGGGCTAGGCTTGGCTCCTCCTGTGCGGAACTGGGCCAGCACGGAGCCCACGGATGGGCCGTCCCTGTGGGCATTGCAGGCCCAGTGGCTTCCCGAGGCCGCCTGGCCTGAGGCAGGGCCTGTCCCATTCTCCGCTCGGCTGTGGGGGGCCTGACGGACATCCACGTTACAGAACTGTTTCTCTTGTCCCCTGAGTCCCTCTGTGACCAAAGGGGCCTCTGGGACTCGATGCTGGGCCACCTAGGAGGCGACCACACACTTAGGTGCCCTTTTGGGAGTGCGCACTGAGGTCTTGTGAGCAACCACCGTTGCCTGGCAACGAAAGAGGACTTTAGGCCAGAAGAACAGTTTGGCGCGACAGTTGCAGGCCTGAAGGGTGCCTTTGCGCAGGCGCTATGCGCATCGCGAGGTGCATTATGGGTGAGAAAGGGGCGGAGCTTCTCAGTTGCCTCCTTAAATCCGGTACACTGCACTCCTCAACGCGGTCGAGGAACGCTCTGAGGGGACGAGGTCGAGCGGCCATGCAGGCCCCTGGTGGCGGCGCGGATGGAGCGGAGGGCAACAGCAGTGACCAGCGAGGCGCAAGTGTCTCCGGTGGCGCGGGAACCCACACAACAGCCTTTTCACGGGTTGTCCAGATACCTCATGGCCCATGGCCCTTTGGGCAGATTGTGCTCATGGGACGCAGCACAGGGACGCAGCGGCATGAGTTGTATCCTTGGTGACGTGGCCGCGGGGTCCGGGACGCTGGGGACCAGGGAGGCGTCAGGAGCGCGGGCTGGGACTCAGCCGGGCAGCGCCGCGGGGAAGGAGACCAGGAGAAGGGAGGCGGAAGCCCGAGGGCGGGTGGGGGACAGCCACTGTGGCCTGCGTCGGGGGGACGCTGGGGA